GTGAGGTCAAAATTGTCTTTTTCGAAAACTAGGTCGACAGGTATTTTGTTTCGTTTTTGTTTTTGTTTTGTTTTGTTTTTTTTGGGGGGGGGTTTAACTTTCATATCACACGTAGGAAGGGGGGTATTCAACATAATGCGAGTTTCAAACGTTTCCTTATTCGTTCCCGTCCTTGAAGTGGAAGTTTCTTTTTGAGAAACGCAATTAAAACCGGTGGGCTCTCGCTGTTATCTCAATGGGGCTCACGGGTCAGAATGTGACATGGCAAATGAGAGGGAAAGGAAACGGGATAAGCAGCGGGGAATGAGAAATCTGGAGGTAAGGTGAGCAAAAAGAAATTGATTGATAGGAAGAAGGAGTAAAAGGAAGGAATATCAACAATCACGTTACTGATGTCCTGCCTTGGTGTAGCGAAGTTAAAAGTTGTAGAGGAAGTGGCCGAAAAGGAATAACCAGATACAGGAGAATGAAGTTAGAGGGGGAATAACTTAAAGGAAATGATGATAAAAGCGGACACAAGAGAGAGGGAAGAGAAGGCATGGAGAGAGAGAGAGAGAGAGAGAGAGAGTGCAGAAAGGATGAAAAAGGAAGAAAGAGAAATAGAGGATGAGAGATAAAGTGAAGGGGAGAAGGGATGGGGGCGGGGGGGGGGGGTCAAAAAGTGAAGACAAGTAAACAAAAGGTAGACCATTCAGAAGCAATCCAACGTCATGAAAGAGAAGGAAAAAGAAGTCTGGAAATCAGAGAACGATGATGAAATATCTGCAGAACCAGGAGCATCTCTTTCTTTCCCCCCATCTGCTTTTGCCACAAGAACAGAACACGCGGAATTCTTTTGGCCCAGAAAGTAAGGTAAAGAAAACAACAGCAGCTTCAGCATTCCAAAGGTGTCAAATTTACATTGCAACCGTTGTCACTGTTTATGTTGTTATCCCGGACAGCCGATGCCTCTGCCTACTTCTTTCCCATTCGAGCTCAAACACCTGAAAATAATTCACCTTGCCCTCTGCGACAGAGATTAAAAATAAATCATATCACAAAAGCAATGAGAAAAACACAGGGCAAGAAGCAGGCAGCTCCTGTGAGATGGAAATTGCGCAGATGGGATCTGAAGGGAAGCGAAATTTCTGTCGGCGTGAAGGCACACATGGACGCTAATATGTTTGATATCCGAAACAAATAAGAGCTTGTCTATTTTCGAGAAGACATTTGGACTGGGACCAGGTTTTGATAGGATATTAATAGAAGGGGTCGCGACCTCTCGACTTCTGTAGAATGCCGGACAGAAAGTAGGCGTGGAGAGAGAGAGAGAGATAGATAGAGAGAGAGAGAGAGAGAGAGAGTATGTATGTGTGTGTGTGTGTGTGTGTGTGTG